ATTGAATTGAGTTTCCCGCAGAGAAGAGAGTCAAATGAAGAACCAAAAGCAATATGTTTTTCATTTACTAATGAGAACTATGTTTTTTGAGATCTCCTTACACAGAATATTGGAATGGGTTTTTTCACGATTAATGTTGTTTGGAGACATCAATGTTCATAAAATGTATGTTTCTATCACCAGGAAATAAACAATTTTCTGTCTACATAAACCTTTCCTGGTTGCTTATTAATGCATTTGCCCACTGTTATCATCAGGCGCGTACGCAGGGGGGTGTTTGGGGGTTAACCCCCCCCCCCCCTTGGTATTTTTATGTGTGTAAACCCCCCCAAAAAAATCCCTAAACCCCCCCCCCCCCCTTTGGATTTTGTTTTTTGTTTTTTGTTTTTTTAATTATTTAAAAAAAAAAAAAAAAAATTACCCCCATGGCTGACCTAAGAAAGGTGACCTTACCCCCCCCCCCCCCACTGAGCGACTTTTCGGCTGGCTGAGTCGTTGTGATTTTTTTTGGACTACCAAAAAAAAAAAAAAAGTGTCCGCTTACCCCCTCCCCCCCCCCCCCCCCCCCCCCCCCCCCCACTGAGCGACTTTTCGGCTGGCTGAGTCGTTGCGATTTTTTTTTGGACTAGCAAAAAAAAAAAAAAAGTGTGTCCGCTTACCCCCCCCCCCCCCCCCCCCCCCCCCCCCCCCCCCCCCCACCAATCATCCCCCCAACCACGGATACAAATCGACACCCTTGACTGGGCCATATCTTTGCGTATTTGGCTTGCGTGTTGCTGCGTATTTATGGCAAGCCGTTTTAACAGTTATTCCGATTTCTTTATATCAAGAAAAAGGAATGAATGTTAAAACGGCTTGCCATAAATACGCAGCAATACGCAAGCCAAATACGCAAAGGTATGACTGAGGCATTATCTGAGCGGTGAATGCTTGCCACGAATGTAGCGAATTTGGGGTTTCGCCATGGTTCGTAAAAGGTCCAAAACATTCACAAATAGTGGCAAAGTATTGCCAAATAGTTGCTAAACTTCGCTAATACTATTGCTAACTTTTTCTTATAGTCGCTAATACTAGTCGCCAACTGCCAAAATTCGCAACGTTTGTAAGCATTCGCCGCTTAGTGAGATACCCCCTTAAATTAAAGGACAGTAGCGCTCTTTAGTGATACGAACTCGGGACCTCCCCTTTACAGCTCATTGTATTTATGTTATTATATTACCAAAGAAGAAAAAAAAAACAGTCAGTCACTCAATAGTGTCTGACAGTGAAGTCTAGCAAGTAAACAGGTTTTCTTGCATAATTTGAATATTAGGACACAGCTAACGTTCAAATTTCACAGATAGGACATACATGACATATTCATAAATCCTGCAAAGTTCTACAGAATTTGAGGTTGGCTGCAAAAGGGACATAATACCTTTAAAATGTACTTCTTCCCTTAATAATAAAGTATAATTTACCTATTTAAGAGTTTTATGTTTTTTCTCTTCTCATTCTGTTACTTTGTATAGAGTCGGCTTACGGTTGCACCATGTGAGAAGGGGAGGACTGGGGAGTCCTGAAAAGACTGTCGGTAATCTTTCTTTCTTGAGTGTGTGTAAGCCTACTGTATATCTACATCACCATGCAAGCCGATACTTATAAGCAGCATCTATTTGTTTTAGCGCTACAAATTAATCGATGTCATTTTCAATACAATTACAAACTGACGCAGTCAGAAAGACGTCTCATGTGCAACAGGAATAACGTAAGGGCATTTGGGCCTACCTGATTTCGATGCGGTGTTTGAGTAGAATTCGGTGAGATGATGATATACTCCCTCGTAGCTTGATGTGACGAAGTGTCTCTATCCAGCTTTCTGTTGAAGTACTGTCTAGATAGCTTCTAGTATTATAGAAAATCGAAGCCTGCAATGACCTTCAGCTCGTAACCGACAAGTCACCGCATTCAAATTAAATTGCGAATAGTGCTCAACAACATGCTGGTGGATAAAACTTTCTAAAATGTTATTAAATATGACCTCGGAACGCAGTTTGATTATTTTTTAATCAAAATTTTAATCATCGTCAATGTCATCATTCTGGCATCTCTCTTTTTTAAAACCTTCTTGTCTGTGTATGTACTACAGCTAGATTTCTTATTTGTTGATGGATTGAGTAGATGTCAAATCCTGCCATTAGTAACCGACAAGTCACCATGTTCATGTATCTTAAATGTTCGTTTTGATTCATTTCCTCCCCATTTCTTTCTCTCTGTTTAATACTGATAAAATGTTTAATTTGTCCTTAATAAGCAAAGCCGAATATTATATTCATATTTTCTTTATGCACGAGAGCGAAAGAGAGAGAGAGGGGGAGAGAGAGAGAGAGAGAGAGAGGAGGAAAGAGAGGGGGAGGGAGAGGGAGAAAGAGAGATTATAATAACTGACAATTATTGTGTACAACTATGAATTGCATCCTTTTCAATATGATATAATTTGCTGCCAATATTCAGAATCTAAATGTGATAAATCCACATAATACACCAACGCTGTTAACCGCATCCATCAATCCAACGATACATGTAGCTCAAGTGCCAAAAATACCATGATGATCAAATATGGAGAGTAAAAATGAAATTTGAACAAAAATTAATGCACTATGCACTGAGAGGCTTCAGTTGAAATCATAAATTCTCTGTGACGAGCTTAGCACTAGTTTCTGAGGGACCTATCACTGAAGATCCATAATTTTACAGGTGCCTCGAACACTATGATTGCATGGTACATTTGATTTATATCCTTCATCAAGAAATGAAAAACTAAGAATGTAAACTATAAAGAAATAAATCGGAAACCAATTATCAATTCACACCTTTGTCCAAAATACACACAAAATACACACAAGTCCCCTCCCACCCACCCCTTCCCCCCTCCACATACACACACGCTGCGCCTGCAAAGAGAGTTATCCATTCCACAGTGGCTGTGTGTTTTTTTATTTGGGGGGGGGATTTTGTTGATGTTATGATTGATTTGCAATGTGTTTTTTTGAAATACTTTTTTCCTCAACAAACAAAATCGAAAACATTAATTGCATAATTAAGATACAACTTACAAGATAGTGCAACATTATATTAGATGAAACTTAATACAATTAGCCTTTACATCTAACCTCGTCAATACAATATATGAAAGTAATAGCTTATAACAACTGTATATTTGATACATGTGTAACAGGTCAAAATTGTATTGTTTTATACTGAAATTTCAGGTACGTAACTGGGATTTGGCTGGAATTACTGTTGGACTTAGCCGGGATAGAGTATTTAATATTTATTCCGAAACCTCAACATGAGACCGGAATCATGCATGGAAGAAATACTGGGGCGACTTCTAGGAACAGTAGGGTTTATCTCTCTACCTTTGTTTTTCTGTTAACCTCACGGAGAGGCCGGGGAGGGCACATTGGTAGCGAAAAGGGATTAGCCAAAAGCAAAGGTTATAAGATTTCTTTGTATTTTGCTATGTCGAATTCTTGTATCTTAGGAAGTTCCTAAGATGTGAAAGGATTTTTCGGTGGGGTGGTCATTATGAAATATAGTTTGTAGTTTTACTGCTGCTGCATTTGCAAGAGTGTGTAAAGGTTCTACAAGGACGAAATCTGCCATGACTATATGCTCATAACCGACTGAAATTGAAAATAGTGTTCACCAACATGCTGGTGGATAAACCTTTCTAAAAAATTGTAATACATATGACCTCCGAATACACTTTGATTATTTTTTAATCAAAATTTGAATACTCGTCAATGTCATCATTCTGGCATCTATCTTCTTTCTTTTCTTTTTCTTTTTTTTAACTTTCTTGTCTGTGCATTTATTACAGCTAGATTTCTTATTTTTTGATGGATTGAGTAGATGTCGAAGCCCGCCGTTCATAATCGACACGTCACCATATTCGTGTAATTAACGAATCAATCAACGTCAAATAATTGATTCATCATCCCTCTATAAATAATTATTTCACATTTTAACATACCTGCGTTCGTTTCCATCACGAATGAACATTTAGTAGGTATCTTAGATGTTCGTTTTGATTATTTTCGTACCCATTTCTTTCCCCCTGTTCAATACTGATAAAATGTTCGAGTTGTCTTAATCAAAGCCCTATATTATATTCATATTTTCTTTATGCCCGAGAGAGAGAGAGAGAGAGGGAGAGAGAGAGATGGAGAAATAGAGAATATATTAACTGGCAATTATTGTGTACAACTATGAATTGCATCCTTTTCGATATGATATAATTTGCTGCCAATATTCAGAATCTAAATATGATAAATCCACATAATACACCAACGCTGTTAACCGCATCCATCAATCCAACGATAGCTCAAGTACCAAAAACACCATGATGATCAAACATGGAGAGTAAAAATGAAATTTGAACAAAAATTAATGCACTATGCACTGAGAGGCTTCAGTTGAAATCATAAATTCTCTGTGACGAGCTTAGCACTAGTTTTTGAGGGACCTATTACTGAAGATCCATAATTTTACAGGTGCCTCGAACACTATGATTGCATGGTACATTTGATTTATATCCTTCATCAAGAAATGAAAAACTAAGAATGTAAACTATAAAGAAATAAATCGGAAACCAATTATCAATTCACACCTTTGTCCAAAATACACACAATTCCCCTCCCACCCACCCCCCCCCCCCCCCCCTCCACATACACACGCTGTGCCTGCAAAGAGAGTTATCCATTCCACAGTGGCTGTGCGTTTTTTCTATTGGGGGGGGGGTGATTTTGTTGATGTTATGATTGATTTGAAAATAATGTGTGTGTTTTTTTAATACTTTTTCCCTCAACAAACAAAATCGAAAACATTAATTAAGATACAACTTACAAAATAGTGCAACATTATTGTTACACAGGCTTCCTATGCCTGCGCCGGTTCAATTAATTAAGATTAGTAAACACGGAGATCCATTAAAATACATAAGTCTGAAACATATATTTTGTGCCAATGATAATTCCAAAGAGGTATTTATTAATATTCAGTGTCAAAGGTACACCGATAATAAATTCCCAGTGTGACAACTGGCATTTCGATTTCAAACAAACAATTCTTACAAAAACAGCTACATGCAAAGCTTAACAATGTATCGTACAGGTACAATAAATGATAGAAAAGGAGCAAAGTAAACTACACTGTACAGTAGAAACATATTAGGGAATAGAAGAAAAGAATAGATGTTCATATGAAGTACAAATGATAAACACAAGTCGTTCGTCAATAAGCACTAAATACATCGATCAGGCGGAGAGCGTTGCCTGAACAACGACAGCAGTCCCAACTCTTGTCCCGAGGGAAATGGAAGTGGAACCATGGTGGAACCATGGTGGAACTCTGTTAAGAAACAAAATCAAGGCAGGTCTTAAAAAGCTGCGACATAGTAACTTCTGGGGGAAGTTACATCACACGTCTATCTGCCTTGAAGTCTAAACTTGCTCTCCTACTTAATCAATAATAATTCTTCTTTATATGGAACACAGTAATTCAACAAGAGTATTTATCGTCTTACAAGTAGTTATTGGGCTATCACTAAACTATCTAATCAACAGTATTTTACAATGACTGAAATATCTATAAACAGGTCTGGCTTGTGGAAAGTGGTATCTTAATTCATACACAGTCACAACCATCTTGTATCAAAAGTTAATGGATAAACACATAAAAATATAACAATGGGTTTTCCAACGTAAGGAGAATCACACTAAACAATATCATACAATTAATTCAAATTGCATTAGGAACTTGTGATATCTCTATAATTTACTAGAATAGAACATGAATATACTTTTAGGAAGGTGAGTGTTCGCTTACCTGTTAAGAAACAAAATCAAGGCAGGTCTTAAAAAGCTGCGACATAGTAACTTCTGGGGGAAGTTACATCACACGTCTATCTGCCTTGAAGTCTAAACTTGCTCTCAACGAGAAAGCCAATCTTTCTTCCAAACCAGGCAAACAACCCCACTATTCCCTATTCCCAAGACAAAGGGGCAGTGGCGGATCCAGGGGGGGCCCGGGGGCCCGGGCCCCCCCCCCTTGAGACAAAAATCATGTAAAATCACGTGATTTTTACGATTTTTGGGGGTTGGGCCCCCCCCCTGGCGCTCAAGGGGGGGGGGGGGTGCAAATTGAAATTTTTTTGAGGATCAAAAAAAAAAAATGTGCTCACTACCCCCCCCCCCCCCCCCCCCCCCCCCCCCCCCCACTGAGCGACTTTTCGGCCGGCGCGATTTTCAAATTTTCGGGAGCAAAAAAAAAAAAAAGTTGGGCCCCCTCCCCTAAGAAATCCTGGATCCGCGCCTGCAAAGGGGTACCAGTAAGTGTATCCACTGGTCATTCATGATTTATGTACTCTACGACTAAAGGAAGTGGTCTGGGTTTAAGACATAAACAAGGCCTATAGAATAGGGGTATCTTTGTTCCCATCTCTTTGTTTCACCAGCAGCATATACCAGAGAGGTGATCTTAATAGAAACATAGTTTAAAGGTACACTTTAAATAGGGGTTCAACAATTTAAAGTAATATAAGCTTACTCAAAAATAGAAAATAGGTTTACTCAAAAAATAGAATATACCTTGATAATAAACAGGGTCTGACATTATATTAGATGAAACTTAATACAATTAGCCTTTACTTCTAACCTCATCAATACAATATATGAAAGTAATAGCTTATAACAAATGTATATTAAAAAATGTGTAACAGGTCAAAATTGTATTGTTTTATACTGAAATTTCAGGTACGTAACTGGGATTTGGCTGGAATTACTGTTGGACTTAGCCGGGATAGAGTATTTAATATTTATTCCGAAACCTCAACATGAGACCGGAATCATGCATGGAAGAAATACTGGGGCAACTTCTAGGAACAGTAGGGTTTATCTCTCTACCTTTGTTTTTCTGTTAACCTCACGGAGAGGCCGGGGAGGGCACATTGGTAGCGAAAAGGGATTAGCCAAAAGCAAAGGTTATAAGATTTCTTTGTATTTTGCTATGTCGAATTCTTGTATCTTAGGAGGTTCCTAAGATGTGAAAGGATTTTTCGGTGGGGTGGTCGTTATGAAATATAGTTTGTAGTTTTACTGCTGCTGCATTTGCAAGAGTTTGAAAAGGTTCTACAAGGACAAAACCTGCCATGACCATATGCTCATAACCGACTGAAATTGAAAATAGTGTTCACCAACATGCTGGTGGATAAACCTTTCTAAAAAATTGTAATACATATGACCTCCGAACACACTTTGATTATTTTTTAATCAAAATTTGAATCCTCGTCAATGTCATCATTCTAGCATCTATCTTCTTTCTTTTCTTTTTTTTAAAACTTTCTTGTCTGTGCATTTATTACAGCTAGATTTCTTATTTTTTGATGGATTGAGTAGATTTCGAAGCCCGCCGTTCATAATCGACACGTCACCATATTCTTGTAATATTCACACATACAACTATGAATTGCATCCTTTTCAATATGATATAGTTCGCTGCCAATACTCAGAATCTAAATGTGATAAATCCACATAATCCACGCTGTTAACCGCATCCATTGATCCAACGATAGCTCAAGTACCAACAACACAATGAAAGGGGGAAAAAATGAAATTTGAACAAAAATTAATGCACTATGCACTGAGAGGCTTCAGTTGAAATCATAAATTCTCTGTGATGACCTTAGCACTAGTTTCTGAGGGACCTATCGCTGAAGATCCATAATTTTACAGGTGCCTCGAACAGTGTGCGTGGTACATGGGAGTTGTCCATTTCATAGTGGCTGGCGTGTTTTTGTATTGGGGGGATTGATTTTGTTGTAGTTATAGATTTGGAATGTTATTTTATTCTTTTTTTCTCAACAAACAAAATCGAATACATTAATTGCACAATTAAGATACAAAATAGTTCAAAATTACCGTAGATCTACAATCTACCATAGATAATCCATATATAACGTGCCGGGTTCGCCGGCATTGTTGCTTCTATTGCTTCTCTCTACCCAGGCTATAAAAGGGTATCCTGTATGAATAGTTGAAGAAAAGGAAAAATAGAAGTTTGGGAGTCCAGCCGTAAATGGAGATATACGCTGATTTGGGCAAAACATTGACCTAAGGGGCGCTATAACAATAGAGGAGTTGGGTTAAGTTGACCATTTGTACGGTTATTAGTTTGACTTTGTATACATCTAAAAGTTGAACAGCATTAATTATGTTCCCGATAGTATGACAGGAACTGGTAAACAACCCCTGGACTTGAATTTCTACATTAGATTTACAGGTGTTCATTTCCGATAAACACGTTGGACTTGAATTCATGCACAATAGACTGTTCTCCGGGGATCTGACATTCTGCCTCAGAGGCGGCGGAGCGACTTCCAAAGTGGGGGGGGGGGCACCAATAAAAAAGGGCACTTTCTGGGAAAAAAGGCACATACAAAGGGAAATTTCAAAGCGAAAATAAACAATTTTTAGACATTGGTATATACCCCTAAAATTTTGATTACATTATCAGGGATGATTTCAATATTTGTTTCTCTTTATACATCGTATAAAATATTGCTTTTTAAAGCATCATACCTTGCAGTTGGGTGTGATGGTCGAAAAAATCATTTGCGAGCGAGGAAAAATATAAGATTTGTGAGGCCACAGTGCGAAAACTACATCTTATAAAGAGGAAAAACCAATCTTCATCGGGTTATAAGCGAGGTTAAGCGGGTTATAAAGCGAGCTTTGGGAGATATTGATGTTAGTCGCTTGAAATTAGGGGCACGTTTAATGTTGAGAGGAAAGGGGACACTTATCGAAGGGATAAGACACTTATTAGAAAATAAAAGGAGCACGTGTCAAAGTACAAAGGGTTATTATCAGAGGTGAAAACGGGGCACTCACCAGGGATGAAAAGGCACTTATGAGAATGGAAATTGGGCATTTGTCGACGGAAAAAAGGCAACCCTCAGATTTTGACAGGGGCATTTATGAAAAATGGATAGGTTCCTCATAAGAAAGGAAAAGGGGCACGTATCATTGTTAAAAAAAGGTTAATTATGAGAATGAAAAGGGGGCATTAATAATAAAGGGAAATGTGCATTTGTTGAAAGAAAAGGATCACCGATCAGATTTTGATAGGGGCATTTATTGGAGGTGAAAGGAGGCTTTTATGAAAAGCGGAAATTATGAAGGAAAAGAGCATTTATTAGGAAGGAAAAGGGGTACGTGTCAAAATAAAAGGGGGTGTTATTAGAGATGAAAAGAGCACTTATCAGGAGGAAAAGGGGGCACTTGTCAAAATAAAACGATTTGTCTCTCAGAATTGAATAGGGTCATTTCCCAGACATGAACAGGAGCACTAGTAGGAGAATGAAAAAGGACTATTTTCATAGGTGAAAAGGGGCATTTATTAAAAGGCGAAGGGCTCTTTGTTAAATGGGGGCACTTATCATAAGGAAAAGGGGCACTTATTAGAAAGGAAAGGGGGCACATGTGAAAATAGAAGGTGCGCTTATCCGAGTTAAAAAGATGTAGTTATTAAAAGGGAAAGGGGCACTTCTTACAAAGGAAAAGGGGCAATTGTCAAAGTAAAAGGGGCACCTCTAAGATTTGAATAGGGCAATTATCAGATGTGAAGGAGGCGCTTAACAAAAGTGAAAAGGGGCACTTCTCGTATCCGAAAAGAGGCACTTACTAGAGATTAAAAAGGGCACTTATGAGAATGGAAAATAGACACTTATTGCAAAGGAAACTGGGAACTTGTCTGGGAAAAGAGGTACGTGTAAAAATAAAAGGGGCACATATCAAAGTGGAAAGGAGAGGGGGCACTTTGTGATGTAGTTGACAAGGGGGGGGGCAAACTAACATATATTACGTTCAAATTATCTCATCTAAAAATTAATATTTCACCAAACACCAACAATAATTATGTCCATAATTACAGTACTATACGTATGGGGGAGCTGCAGTAAAGGCCTACACAGTAAAAACGCTGTTTATAAAAAGTGGTGTTCACTTACAGTTGCAGGCGCGGATCCAGGATTTCTTAGGGGAGGGGGCCCAACTTTTTTTTTTTTTTTTTTGATCCTCAAAAAAATTTCAATTTGCACCCCCCCCCCCCCCTTGAGCGCCAGGGGGGGGGGGGCCCAACCTCCAAAAAAGGTAAAAATCATGTGATTTTACATGATTTTTTTTCTCAAGGGGGGGGGGGCCCCCGGCCCCCCGGCCCCCCCCCCCCCCCCTGGATCCGCCACTGTACAGTTGTACACTATCTTAAACAACAGTTGAACAAATTGTAAACAATGTTGCTCGAAACGAAAGTAATTTTGTTAAACATTCGCTGTTTAAAATTTAATGACTGCTATATTTACTACACGAGAGCTTTTAGACAGTGTTGTTTACATATGACGTCATGTGTCACGTGCCAGTAAAGTGCGCGTTGGCTAAAAGCTTTGTTTCACATCATGGCCGACCAAGCTGTAGAGGTGTCGTGGATGAGTGGAAACGTCGCCGGACTGTCGATCACAAGGTCCACGGTTCGAGTCCCGCCGCGGCACTAATGTCTTTTGGCAGCCTAGCATAGCCGGGTAATGTTGGAGCGCCTTGAGGACCTTGCAAGGTCGGTATGTGCGCTATATAAGAATCCAATAGTATTATTATTATTTAACAATTAACAACAGCTCCTTTTTAAACAACTTTCTTTAAACAACCCAGTTGGTGTAAACAAGCCCCACTGAACAACAGCTCCAAAATAACAGCTCCTTTTTAAACAACTTTCTTTAAACAACCCAGTTGGTGTAAACAACCCACACTGAACAACAGCTCCCTTTTAAACAACTTTCTTTAAACAACCCAGTTGGTGTAAACAAGCCCCACTGAACAACAGCTCCGTTTTAAACAACTTGCTTTCAACAACCCAGTTGGTGTAAACAACCCCCACTGAACAACAGCTCCGTTTTAAAGAACCGTCTTTAAACAACACCGGTTGTTTAAATTGTGATTTTAAACAAGTTG